AACAAAAATATACTGGATAACAAATTAAGTTCAAATCTTACATGGATTGTATTAATGCAGAATGGAAGAGATAGAGTTTACGTAGTAAAACACAAGTTCTGGAACTCAGATGTTTGCGGTACACATGGAAATAAACACTAAAAAAGTAGAGTATGTAAAACTGACCATTAATTTATATTTTAAATTTGAAAGTCATTGTAGTTATCACTACTGGAATACGTAAATCAAAGATTTATAGTATTTTACGTGACTGTAGGTAACATGTGTAGAATAATATATTTTATAGAAACCACCAAGAATTACTGAGTTTGTAACTACAATAAAATTTTATTATTTTTATGCAGCACAATTTTGATTGATTTATTCGCACCTCGATATTACATCACCTCACTGATTAACTTAAATGATTACACATATACATATAATAATTAATAATTTAATGACATTAACTAAATAAATCGTGTATGTGTTTATTTTTATCTATTTATTTATTTATTTATTTTCAAAAACACAAAAACACAAATATCAACATAACAACACGGCAAATATTAAATTCGGTAACGGAATGTTGCTGCCTCGCAATCAATTTTCGGGGGTTTTGCTATTGTTTTTGTGTTGCTTTTGTTTACTTTTTGCACTGTTCGACTTTGTGTGTCGGTTAAATTGTTTTATCATGAAGGCAACAACAACACACTTGTATCTGTATCTAAGCGAAAATGTACTTTTTTTGGCAAAGAAGCTAGCGAGCGAAGAGGCGCTAATGAAGAGCTTCGAATTAGCAAATCGTCGGCAGAGGATTCCCCAAAATATTCCGCTCTGTGTGTAGCTTCATGCATTGAAATCGGTTAACTTTTATCGCTAGGTTAAAGGCCATTATTTAGTTTTTCTTATTCAATATTTTTTAACATTTTTTTTAATTTTACAATTTTATTTTCTAAGAATTTCAATTTTTTTTTTTTGAATGAATCATTTAAAGATATTTTGTAACTTTACAAATGTAGAATATTTAATAAGCGATATAGTAAAAATTAATATATTATGATATAAATATATGATGTATATATATAATATATAAATCTATGTATGTACAAAGTTGACTTCATGAATGGTGGGTGTTAATAGTAATAATAAGATTGCATTATTAATTTTTAATGAACAAAATGAATGATATCTGTAATTAAAAATATCTTCATAATGATTCATGTCATCAAGTCATCAAGAAAGAAAGTCATCATGATTATTTACTAAAGTGTGTGTGTGTGTGTGTGTGTAATTAAGTCAAATAATAAATATAACTAAAGTAATTGAGTCAGACAATAAACATAACTAAAGTAATTAAATCAGATAATAAACTGATCTTCAGGGGAAAGAGATCCAATTAATTATAAAATATAAATTAGTACTAAAGTTAAAACTAGTACTAAAATTGAATAATAAATTAAGTCTAAAATATAGTTTTATGAAGTGCAATTATTGGTTTGTTGCGTATTCTTTGAAGTAATTAATAGTTAACCTTCTATTAAATAAATAAAGTTCTTAGCAAACTTAATATTTATTAATATTCATATTTGTGTATGCAAACAGATATGTACTATATATATTACAACAACAATTGAGATAGTAACAGCGGCTGTAGAAGCAGTAATTTGTATAATAAAATTAAATCAAATTATCTTAATTATCTTGAAAATACATTGATTTTCTATCATTTTTCTAAGAACAATTAACGAGCCATATATTATAAAGTAACATATTTATGAAGCAATACTGGCAGTGCTCGGTGGTAAGATTATTTTCATATGATTTTTGGAATATAGCACAATTTTTATGGGCTTTATCACGACATTGATATTATTTGGCGAATGATTATTCCATGATTTTATTGGTTTTGTCGAGTTGTGAAAATGGAAAACGATACTCCATCGAAAAATGTGTTTAAAGCACCAGTCAGAGGAATAAGAAGTAGGGAATGACCTTGGAGATGATCACGTTAACAGAATAGGAATCAAATTTAAAGTACGAGAAGGTGAGCATGAGAAGGAAGCATGAGTGTCTAGAGAAGAATGCTGCGTCACGCCTTTTTACGCTACTCACGCTAATGCCTTTAAGTACTTTATAACGAGTAGCTAATTATTGTAAATATGTAAGATTTTAAAGAATCCAAACAGAGTGTTCGGCTCAAATTTAAGTATAGAAATTTCTTATTTCAAATAAACTAATTACTGGTTTCTGAATCAAGCATAATACCCTTAAGTAAGTATTGTCTTGATTAAATGATTTAGAGACGAGTATATTTTGTTAAAGATTCTTTGCTTGTTCATAATGTGAGTATGCAATTGTTAGAACGCAACATTAATTCTTTTATCTGAGTTTTGTAGAAATAAAAAGGTTTAGATGATCGAATGTGATAATATTGCAAAGTTTATAAATGACCTATTACTCTGTCCAGATTAAAGAAATAGAATTTCTAAAGTACTTTATTAAAATTAATTAATTAAAGTTTTTAAAATTCAAAGGTAATTGTATATATCTTCTAATAATCATAATGATAATATATCGTTTATAATAGTTCAGATGAAAAGTTTCTGTTAATACACATAACATATGTTATGGAATTTAAATTTTGTATTTTTTTTTATTTATCACACATATGAAATTTGGTGAATATCGTGTTAAGTAGGGTACAACTGGAAATGTATGTTTCTTTAAGAGATGAAGCACATAACTACATAAATAAATTACTAAATAATTCTTGGAGTTATCATATATGATTTTAACAACTACGATAAAGATATTGGAGGTACCTAATATATAAGCTATGCAGGAATAATACGAAGAGTGAAACTAATATCATTAAGTTCAATATAAAAGATGGATAGAAGCTATGTATTGCACTGTAAGGGAAGGAATACAGATGATTGTATACTCCATGTTTTGTTTTGAAAGTGCTAGTGAGATTCCATTTTAATTTATTTTGTTTTCAGTTTGTTTTCAGACATTTTGCTTCTATTGAGTAGATATTATTTAATTTTACTAGAAAAATAGATTTCATTACTTTTGTAGAAATGTTGTTCACCAATGAAAATGCTTGCTGATCTATAGATAAGAATACAATAGTTTTTTACCTTTTTCATCATTTATAATCAAATGTTATATCTTCAGAAAAATTATCAATAATAACAACACTTAAAACATTATCAGTTTTAAACAATTTTATTCAAACTCAGACAGTTTGGCAACTGCACTTCATCTATAAATTAAATAAAAAATTGCGAAACAAGAATAGTACAGAATCAGAATATTCTAAATTTTTATTTTTTGTTTGCTGTAAGAAAAATATGTAAACGTATATATATATATTAATATATATATTTATGCATATTTAAATGTCGCTGTCACTTGTATTTTAATTCTAGAAATATTTATTCTATAAGTTATTAGAGTTTTACGAGAGTAGTAGAGCTGTGACAGCAAAATTTATGTTAATATAAAGCTCTAATCTTGTATCTATTTTATTATAAATATTATTATAAAACTAATTCACATTTTCCATTTTGAAAGATAAGGGTATCAACAGAAGAGTATCCTTATTAGCGACGATACCAGAGTGCACTGATATTCAGTGGAGTGATATGATCAACGAACTAGCTCGGAAACTATAATACGTTTATACATATGCAAACTTAGATATGGTAATAAACTGGGAGGATAGCATTAAATATTTATATATCACGTTGGAAAAACGATTCACATGACTTAAACATATTCAACTGAAAAGAATTAGCTGTGCCAAAACTCTTTATCATCTCCAACCAGTATTCAAAAATTAAAATCTCAATACTAAGAACAGGAATCTCTTATATAACCAAATAATTCGACCGTCACTTCTATATGGATGTGTAGCGTTCAGCAATATTATTATTACCAGCTAGAAATTGCACAAAGCCAGCCTCTGAGAATACTTTTTAAGGTACCATGGTACTTTATGACGAATGACATCCTCAGGGACCTCAACATTAATCCGATCAAAAAATACAAAAGGATAGAGCCCTGAAATTTACAAAAACTGACAGGCTTACCAAGACCGCGTTATCGATTCTCAGAATGGTTACAGGGTCCTCGGGAAGGTGTGCATGGAGTGGCGGCCCTGTTTACCAAGAAAAAGCCCACTTAGGCACAAATAATGGCCCGTTGTGGTTAATAGAGAGTAAAAGTGCTCATGTGCATTGACTCAACTAGCCTCAACATAATAATAATATAATATATTGTACAAGAAACTAAAAATTAAATGGGTAGTGCAGTTTTATAAATTATAATTTAGAATTCCATAGAACAGTTACCGCAATAACTAGATTAACAGTTAAACCGTTTCCGGTTCAAAATTTGGATCATCAAAATTATATACAAAAATTTTTACTAGATGAATGAAATAGTTTGATTTCAAAACAGATCGAATATTCTAACACTTGTAATAATGAAATTAATAATAGCCAAGTTCATAGATGTAAGTCCCATATACTTAGTAGATTTTATAAAGACATTCGTGTTATATTGTAAATAATATGGCGAATGATAAAATTTAACTTTGTATAGCAGCAGTAATAATGCTCATATAATAAAAATACTCTTTAATGAATGAATGAAAAATTTGATTCATTAAAAATTCGGGTGATTATGTATATTTTATTTCAATATCAGAGAATTATAAAATCTTTTCTGATGAACTTTGTAAAATTGAGTGCAATAGTATTTCAATGTGTGATTTATCCTTTCCTACACTAAAGATGAATGCTGTTATATTTATAAAAGAATAAGTATAAAAATATATAATAAATAAATAAATAATGATGACATTGTACCTCTATTTTTTAGTTTCAAAAGTTAGTAGCACCATCTAGTCTTGAGTTTTTCATGATCAGCGTTTAAAGAAATGAAAAGCAGAGACCGCACTCGATGAATTGTCAAAAACGCTGTATAGAAAATGTCATTTCCTTGCTGTCAGTTTTGCGGCATTTCAATTGCCAACTGTTGTTTTTGTAAAGAGTTTCATATAAATATTAATATATTATTTTACAATTAATAGAAAGTATTTTGTCGTTATAAGCCAGTTGGTGTTATAAATATTTCATTAATATATTATAAAATTAGAAATTTCCGAAAATGTTCGGCCAATCGACTTTGGGGAATACGACCTCTTTTGGCGCAACAGCAGCGACAACTTCCACAAATCGTATGAATGATTTTGAAGTTGTATCACCACCTGAAGATTCTATTTCTGCTCTCGAATTTAGTCCTGTCACAATGCAACAGAATTTTCTGATAGCTGGTAGTTGGGATAGTAGCGTGCGCTGCTGGGAAGTTGAACAAACCGGTAAAACAGTGCCAAAATCTATGAAAACTTTAGGGGGTCCAGTGCTGGACGTGTGCTGGTCTGATGATGGCACAAAAGTTTTTATGGCCTCAATCGATAAGCAAGTTAAAATGTGGGACTTAGCATCAGATCAGGTAATGCAAGTAGCAGCTCACGATGCACCAATTAAAACTTGTCACTGGATTAAGGGCACAAATTACACTTGCCTAATGACAGGATCTTGGGATAAGACTTTAAAGGTATATATTAAAGCATCTTATAAAGCATTCATACTAATGCTTCCACTTCCACTTTTCAGTTTTGGGATACTCGCTCCGCAAATCCTATGTTGTCAATTGCGTTGCCTGAACGTTGCTATTGTGCGGATGTTGATTATCCAATGGCAGTCGTAGGTACCGCTGGTCGCGGCTTAATTGTATATTCACTGGAAAATAGTCCTACTGAATTTAAACGACAAGAGAGTCCTCTAAAATACCAACATCGGACAGTATCAATTTTTAGAGATAAGAAAAAAGTACCGACTGGTAAGTGCACATTGATTTTTGTTATGAAAAGATTTTAATTTAATTGTTTTATAATTCCTATTTTCTCTAGGCTATGCGTTAGGCAGTATTGAGGGTCGTGTAGCTATACAATATGTTAACCCAGTTAGTCCCAAAGATAATTTCACTTTCAAATGCCATCGCACAACAGGCACAGCTGGCTACCAAGATATTTTCGCTGTGAACGACATATCATTTCATCCAGTACATGGTACTTTAGTAACAGTTGGCTCTGATGGCACATTTAGTTTCTGGGACAAAGATGCGCGTACAAAATTGAAATCATCGGAAACAATGGATCAATCAGTTACGAAATGTAGTTTCAATGCAAATGGACAAATATTTGCTTATGCTGTTGGCTACGATTGGTCAAAGGTTTGTTAAATTTAAATGATATAATAATAAATAATATCCAATGATTATTTTTATAGGGCCACGAATACTTTAACCCAACTAAGAAGCCACAAATATTTTTGCGTTCATGTTACGATGAACTGAAACCGCGCATATAATAAATTATGCGATTCTTAGTCTAAAAAAAATGCATTTCTCTGTAATATAAATGAACAGTTTCCGAAATTAATGCAAGTGCTGCAAATAAAGTTTTGTAATAAAAAACTGTGCAACTATTGTTTTAAGTAATTAATTGTATTTATTGGTAGTTGTGTTTATAAGAATCACAATGATTTGTATGTAAATTAGTGTAGTTACAACGCAATTACTTCTACTGTTCATCATCCTTCTTTTCGTGACTGTGCTCATCACCATTACCATGCCCATGTCCATGACCTTTATTCATGCCTAATGCATATTCAGCACCAATTGTGACTACAAAAGCTGCAAATCCCCAAATGAAACCACGGAAAAATAGGCGA